TGCACCCTCAGCCCCTGCTCTGGGCGGCCGGGTCCCTTTGAGCTTTGCCCCTCGAATGTCCACGGGATGCTAGACCTTCTCCACAGAGGCTGCTGGACCAGGGGCCCTGCCACTTCCAGCGTTGGTGGGGGCTCTTGAGATGGGCGCACGGAGCCCGGCTCTGCCAGTAGCTCGTCTTCCGGGCAGACTTTCCGGAAGTGGGTTGCCACGCCTTTCTCCCAAGGTGTCTCTGGATGAACTTGACCCTTTGACCTTTTGGTTAGCAGCTGATCGCGTTAACTGTTTGCACATCACCTGAGAGCTGTGGCCTCTGGCCGCGGTGACTTCTCTGTAGTCTACTCTGCTTGGCAACCAGCCCCCACACGACCTGCCCACTGCTCTAAAGGCCCCTGACTGCACGGTTCCCAGTGGCTCCATCACAAGGCCCCAGGTGGCCTGTCCACTGCCAGGCACACACAGGGGTCCCACTCCTATCCTGCGTCATTCACACACCCGGAAGTCCAGCACCACCCCTGTCCTGGTCACTGCACTCCCACTTGGCGGTCTGCACTGCACAGGGTGGCCTAGCCCCTGCTGGAAACCCCGGCCTGCACAATGCCCCCGGCCTGGTGAGACCAGCCAACGTCTGCTCCCGGGGGCTCAGCCACCTCCTCCAATGAGGCCTGAGCTTCTTCCCTGGCAATCGCCCCCAGCCATAAGAAAGCATGACAGTCTCTTTAAACCCTGCCATCCGGTAGATTCCGACTCACCGAGACCCCACAGGACAGAGGGCAACTGCCCCATCGGGTTTCTGAGGCCGTAACTCCTCCCAGAAGTAGACCACCTCCTCTTTCTTCCATGCGGCGTCTGGCGGCTTCGAATCCCCAGCCTTCTGCTTAGAAGCCCAGTGCTAACCCACTGCACCCCAGGGTGGCTTTGGCTTCTCTCTAGGCATTACCAAAAATGTGTACACGTCCGATCTCACAGCACACAGGTGTGTAACTGGAGAAAGAGGAGGCCTTCTACTCCTGCAGAGTTAGTCTCAAAAGCCCACGGGGGCGGTGCTCCCCATCCTCCGGGCCGCTCTGAGTCAATCGACTCGACGGCAGGAGAAGGGAGAGGAAGGTGTCTAACATTGGCTAAGATGCTGTTTAGTGTCCGCTGTGACGAAGTGAAACGTCCTGATATGACGCCCACCGATGATTGGGTGGGGCCGGGCAGACAGGGGGTGTGAAGCACCCCCAGAGGGGGTTCACGTTTAGTTGCCATTCCCCTGGCTACAAGACAGCCCTCTCCGAAGCCGGAAGAGAGAGGATTCCCAGGAATGTCCGCAGAGAATGTTGGAGACCCTATCTTCCTCCCAGTCGTTCTTTTGGAGCCCAGCGAGGCAGCCACCGTGTCAGCCGGCCTCGTCCTGAGATTGACTAGCACAGTGAGGCATCCTTCTTATCTGCCTCGTGGTCACTTCCTGGTGGTGGTCCCCCGATTGGACCCAGGCTGCCAGCTCCTCAGGAAAGAGGGGGCAAAGATAGCAGCGCTCTTTCAGACGGACTTGATAGCTCCCACGAGGAAGCCTGTGGAAAGTCCAGAGCCCTTCCCTCTCTGTCTGGGTGCCAGGGTCTTTACAGAGAAGCAAGGGAGCGAGCAATCACAGGCTGCCTCTGGGCACCACAGGCTGCCTCTGGGCACCGGGCAGTTGGCCAGGCGAGGGCCTTGCCATGCATGTGGTTAGCGTTGGAGGAGGAGATAGAGGTTCTGAGAGGCCAAGGAGGTCCCCTGGGGTCAGCTATGTAACCGCAAAGGGAGCTGGCCTATGAACTTGTATCTCTAGGGCCCAAGTCCATACACCCAGCAGGGCTCCCTCCCAGAGCCCCACACCATCCCCCTTTGGTAATGTTGGCTCGAGTTTTCGTGCTACCAGATCTACTCTCAGGAGAGAGAGAGTAGATCTGTTAGCTGTGAGTCTGTGGTTTTCTGGACTATGTGAGCTGACCCCTCAGTAAGGCCAGGGCAGCTTGTCCTTGGATACTGTGGGCCTTGACTTGTAGATGCCGGGCTTGATGACGGTCCAGCATAGAGACTTTCACTTCAGTAGCTGACCAATCACGGGGCTTGTTGGTCGGATGTCAGTTCCGGTCTTTGTCAGGTTGACTCACGGGGTTTCATTCAGTGCTTACAACAGTGCTTGGTACGTGGTAGAAGCTCAATCAATGGATTTATGCGGTCAAGGATGCATCACAGCTTTTATCAGGTGATGTCACGCAGGTATTTTAAAGTAGAATTAAAAACAACACATCAAGAGAGGGAAGAAGGATGTGCCATTGAATGAGCTACAAGTGTTCTATAAATGAAGGTACAATCCCACAGCTTTGGGGGGGGGTGTTCCAATGGCCAGACTCACCTCAACTTACTGGCCTGATGGTCCATCTTCTCCAGGGTCACTCCGTTTTAGGACCAGCGTGGCCGTGTGCTGACCAATACGAGGGATGTGTTATGATCGACACAGTCAAATGTGTTTGTGGCTGTTAGCATGATGTACAGGTCAATCTCTTTCTGTGCTTTTAGCTGAGATCCATCTGGTATAAGCAGTATTATCCCTCATTCCACGTCTTCTTCTGAATCCCCTCAAAGTTCTGTAAGCTCCCGATCAATGTGCTGCTGCAACTGTTTTTAAATGCTCTTCAGCAGAAGCACACCAACCTGTGTGACCACAAGGTGTCAACAGGACCAGGTATCAGGCATCAGAAACAAACAATCATAACAATGCGAATGCCGGGGGGCCGGGGGGGGGGGGCAGTGTGGAGACCCAAAATACATCTGTAGACAATTGAATATCCCCTCACAGAAGGGTCACAAGGAAGGGACGATCCAGCCAGGGTGCAGCATAGCACTGACGAAACCTACAACATTCCTCTATTTCTTTATGCTTCCTCTCCCTCCACCCTCACCCCAGTATCATGACCCCAGTTCTACCTTACAAACCTGGACTGGAGCATGTACACTGGTACAGATAAGAGCTCTCAACACACAGAATCCAGGACAGTAATGGAACAGTAATGGAAGTAACGATACCATGAGGGGAAGGGGAAGGTGCGGGGAGAAAGGGGGAACCAATCACAATGATTGATATAGAACCCCACCCCAACTCAGGGTGACGAACAACAGAAACATGGGTGAAGAGAGACAGTGGATGGCATAAGATATGAAAATAATAATAATTTATCAAGGGTTCATGAGGGTGGAAGGGAAAAAAGAGGAGCTGATACCAAGGGCTCAAGTAGAAAGAACATGTTTTGAAAAGGATGATGGCAACATATATACAAATGTGCTCAAAACAGTGGATGGATGGATTGTGAGAGCTCCCAATAAAAGGATTAAAAACAAAAAAACATCTTTGGAATAATGTCACCTTTGTGTGATGTTTGTGATCGTCACTGGTGCCGTTGAGTGGGTTCTGACCCATAGTGACCCTAAGTCCCACAGAAGAAAGCCCTGCCCGGTCCCGCGCCATCCTCACAGCTGTTGCTACATCTGAGCAGCCACTGTGTCAATCTCTCCGTCCAGGGCCCTCCTCCTTCTGACTGCCCTCCACTTCATCCAGCATGATGTCCTTTTCAGGGGCTGGTCTCTCCAGATCAGGATCTGTGGTCCAAAGTTTTCTTCTGAGACCCGGTATCTCCATCTTCAGCATGAAAGGGATAGCTCTCAAGGTCATTGTACCCCAAGGTAGCTAACCACCAGGTCAGCAGTTCGAAACCACCAGCTCTGAGGGAGAAAGGTGAGGCTGTCTACTTCCCTGTCCTCATCGGGTCCTTGTGAGAGGGTATTTTTGTGTGTTTCTTTCACATCCTGGCGTGACTGGAGAGAAACCATCCACCCCCCCTTAATCACTGATAGCTTCTGGCAATGAGCAGAGCCAGCTAGCAGGAGCCTTGTTAAACATCTGTATGTAAGTAAATAGCGAGTGGCAGACAGTTAAGGACCCATTTAATTAGCAAGAGCCAGGTATAAGTTGATCATTCAGTTTTGTTCAAAAGGCTTGATCAATTTTTCCCTCCCTCCCTCCTTCCCATCCTTTTCCCTCTGTGGCTCTCTCTGCCCTTTCCATCTTTCCCCTCCTTTCCTGTCCCCCACCTCTCATCCCCCCCCCCAAAATCCCTAACTCATTCTGAGTTCCCCACTTTTTGCGGGAGTTGGTTTGCCAACCGTATGGCATCTGCTTTAAACTGGGTGATGGAGCCCAGGGTCCTTTGAACTTACCCAGTCAGAACGGACGGACATTGCCAAGGGCCAGCCCCAACAGTCTGGCTTCCCCAGAGGTGCAGGCCTTTCTGATCCTTAGTGGCCTCTGAGCCAGCATGGTGTCCTACTTTGGGGACAAAGGACCGCGTTGCTACTTTGCCAGCACTGCATATTTCACGAGGGAACGTTGTGGAAAGTGCTCTCTCTGAAATGGCACACGCCATTCTTGCTCAATCACAATAGTGAGCATTCCATTTGTAACTCCCCACTCTTTCTCTGAGAGAGAGATCAAATAATGAAATAAATTGGCTATCGGCAGGCTTTTGACTGATCATGGGGGTTTTGACCAAGAGCCTCTGGAATGTAGTGTTTGATTTGCTCTCCGAAACCAGAGCAAACTCACTGCCATCAGGTGGATGCCAACTCATGGTGACCCTAAGGACAGGGTAGGGCTGTGCCTGTGGGTTTCCAAGGCTGTAGAAAGCCTCGTCTTTCTCCGGAGGAGGGGCTGGTGGTTTCAAACTGTTAACCTTGCGGTTAGCAGCGCAACGCAAATCACTGCACCACCAGGACTTCCCTCCGGGCAGTCTTTAAGAGCCAAAGGGCGGTTGGATTAAGGTCTGGATTTTGATCATTCCCGCTCCTCTCCTGCTCCATTATTACAGTCCCGGAGGCTTAGCACCGGGCTTGGGGGGTGGGGAGGGAGAGGGGGAGCAGTGATGAGCCGTTGCAGGCGATCCCAGGAGCCAGTCTATTAATACCGCTTTCCTTCTCCCCAGGTGCAAGCACACGATGCTCCCAGCCCGATGTCAACAGCTACCGAGTCTGCCAGGGCGGAGTCCTCCCTCACCGCCCCACCCGCCGGGACCTCAGCCAGCTCCCCCTCCGACGTAGGAGGGACCCCGGAAGACAGTGCTTCATCAGCTGAGAACCTGGATGCAGATAGTTGCATGCCAAGCCCACAGCTCGAGGAAGACCGAGGCACAGACAGAGCAGACGGCCTAGCTGGTGGCCCCGGGGGAGACCTGGACCATGATCTAAGCATCTCAGAAGCTGGCAGTGAACACCTGTCCCCCCGTGAGAGCTCAGGTCACTACCCGCAGCACGGCCACACTGACCTCCATGGTTTATGTTCTCCTGACGACCAGGGGCTGGAAGTCCCAGGCGATGAACGCGGTCCTGGGCCTCCACAGTCTTCCACCGGCGAAAATGCCAGGGATGGACATTCAGCCGGGCCACCACTTGTTCTCAGCGAGTTCACTGAGGACGTTTCTCAAGAGGCCCATGAAGGCGCCCCGGGGGGTGCTGTCGCAGAGGGCGGCGAGAACACCTCCATGTTGGCTTGCCATCAAAGGACTTGCCAGGAGAGGACAAGCCTCGGCCACTCAGGAGGGCGGGAGGAAGGCCGGCCTCTTTCTCCCGAGAGCAACTCTTTGTTGCAATTCGAAGACGACGAAGAGAGGACTGGGGCTTGTGCCAAAGACACCACAGGCCCAGCAGCCAGGGGTGTGACGTTTCCCCGGGAGAAGCCAACACCGTCCACTGATGGTCTCGGGAGTCCTTGGGTGGCCAGGCAGAATGAAGACGCACCAGCTATCACCATGGCCCCCCAAGTCCACCCAGCCAAGTACCACGCTGCTCCGGTTGCTGAAAACAGCCCTGCAGAGGGCGAGGGTGCCAAGGAGTGCTCCCCTCGGGCACCAGATGGCAACAGGCCCCAACATCCTTCCTGTGTCCCCGGGGGCCGTATTTTACCTGTCTCCATGGCTGAAGCTTTCAAGGAGCTGTCTGGCCTGGTGCCCAGGGCTGCAGGCACCCATACGCGCGTCTCCCAGCTCTCAGAGCGAGAGGGATGTTGTAGCGACCCTCCTCCGCAGATTGGTCCCCTGCATGGAGAGCAGAGCCAGGTGGTGGCCCGAGTGGACCACGGGGGCCTCCAAGAGAATGCCCAAGAAAAAGGAGGTGAAACCAAGCAGAGAGCCCCGCCAGAGGGCCCGCCCCAGCAGGCTTCTCCCTCTGAAGATGGTTTCCAAGGAAGTGTGCCTGCCTCCACATTGGCTGTGCAAGAGGAAATCAACTCGGTGCCCTTGGACCGGTCAGGCGGAGACGCCGGTGGAGACAGGGGCCTGAGCTCCGGCCTGGGGAGCAGCGTCTCCCTTGTGGCAGAAGCTGCCGTGGAAGTGGTCAGCCAGGCTCTGAGCAGCGTTCTGCCGCTCAGGAGCTATCTCCTGGAGGAATCTAAAGAGAGCCAAGGAGGCCCTGGGGAAGCAGGCACCAAGCTGAAGATCTTAAGTCTAGAGGAGCCTGGGTCAGAGAGCTGGCCACCAACCCATCCAACAACCTGTGGGTGCGAGGAGCCCGGAGCTGCCCCCAGAATTCCTAATGGGGTCTGGGCTCTAGCGGAAGTTCTCCAGGCAGACGAACCGATGGGCGATGAGAGCCCCTCCGAAATGGCAGCACCAGCTAGCCGTGCTCCGTGCGGGTGCGCCTCAGCCCTGGTGAGTGACACCCACGGGCGTCAAGCAGGCAGCAGCGATGGCTGGAGGGGTCTTTGTCCCCCCTCTAAGAGCCAACTCGGGTCCCTGGAGTCCTCCGTGGACCCTATTGGCACAAAGGAAGCTTGTCCTGCGGCGGCGCCCCCGGAGGCATCCATAGTCGGTGGGAAGGACAATGCCAGTATGAGTCCAGGGCAGGTGGGAAACCAGCCCAAGGTGAGTGGCCTGGCCTTTTTGACACCGTTGCTGGCCTCCCCTCATCTCCGAGAGTCATCTGTGGATCCCATTGCGGAAACAGATGGGATGGAGTGGGCTGGGGCTGAGCGGCTAGAGCACCCCGAATCCACACCAGTGCAGAGTGAAGTGGAAGGTCCGTCCAATGACGATCCCTTGGGCCAGACAGAAGAAGTCCGGCCTGCCCTTGTGCAAGGGGTGCATTCCGAGGAAAGTGGGGAGACCGTTCCCAGTGAGAGGAGCACAAGCCCAAACCCAGAAGATGGCGGGGGCGGGGAGGCCACCGAGCAATGGGAACACAGCAGCGCCCCGGAGGGCGTCCACCTGGCCCTTTCCCAGGCCACGCGTCCTAGTCAGGGAGGGGAGGTGGCCCCAGGGGCAGGCGGCGGATGCCAAGAACAAGGGGGTGATGGGCGCGGCTTCGGGGAGGCGGCCCAAGAAGGCACAGCAGAAGGTGCTCCCCACACGTTGCCACCTCTGGGCGGTCTTGAAAGAAGGGCCCAGGCGTCTGTTGGAATGGACACTGGCTCCCTGGGCCAAATGCATGAGGTCGCCGGAAGTGTGTTCGCCGAGCCCGGACCCCGTCAGGATGCCGGTGCTGACTCGATGGAAAGGGGGAGAGACCGGGATGGTGAGTTTACTGGACATGTGTCCCCTCCTGGTGCTCTTGCACTCTTGCCCTCAGCGTCCTCTCCGGAAGGGGGCAGGCTAAGCTCCCCAATAAGCAACGAAAGCCAGGGACCTAAAGGAGAAGAGCCCCATTGTGGGGACACGAAGCCCCCAAACTCACCTGGCTCCCCAGTCAGGACTCAGGCCCTCTGTTCAGGAGAATGGGTAGCAGAGAACGATCCTAAGTTCCCACAAGCCTCCCTTGTGAATAAGTCCAGGGAGGAGGAGAGGCCCAGACCTACCAAAGCCGGCAAAACCGGGGCCCGGCCAACGGTGATGAGGTCAGAGGAGGCCAAGAAGAAGCAGGAGACGTTGGGCAGCGGACACCTAGCCGATGGCGTCAAGAAGAAAATTCTGTCCAAGGTAGCAGCCCTAAGACAGAAGTTGGAAGAGAGGGAACAGGCCCGGAAGTCCTCGATCTTCCTGAAGAAGATTCCCAAACTCGAGGCTCCTGCTTCACGCACGGACGAGAAGAAAGACCCCAAAAAGCCACCTTGCAAAAGAGACGGGAGAGGTGAGAAGCTTGCTCCCCAGAATGTGAGGGTGGGGAGAGCGGGGAGGTTGGTGAGGCCGGCAACCCTTCCTGCAGAGTTCTGAGGGCTGCCCGCTCTGGGGCATGGTCAGGTGACGTGAACACGCGGGCTGGGGGCTCTCAGATTTGAGGGGACCTCTGAAGTCCCTGGAGGCTTTGTGAAAACGCTGACCACTGCCGATGCCACCTGCCAGAGAGCCGATTCCCTGGGTCTGGGGTGGGGCTCAAGAAATCGCATCTCTGACCAGGGCTGGGCAGGGTAAGGAGTGCCCAGGGCATCTCCAAGTTGCCCCGCCCCAATTCCAAGATGAACAGATGTTGGTCGAGGGGAGAGGCCAACAGAACCACCTTCCCCTTCTGGTCCAGTTACCTTGGGGAACACCTTCCATGTTTGTGGTGCCTCCTGAGGTTATTCTGTCCCTTATCTGGTGCCCCCTTCTGCCCACCTTGCCACCCCCACCCCCCAATCTCCATGCCCTGCAAAGGCTCTGGTGTGTACTGAGGAAGGACATTGGGTCATGCTGCATTCATAGAAACCACTCAGTGGTGCCCGGTTCAAGGGGAGCCCAGGCACGTGCGGTGCCTGCCATATGGCTAACAAGCTTCCAGGTGGGGGTGATGTTTCTGATGGGGCTCACAATTTGAGAACCACTGAGAGAGGGAGCCCTAGTGGAGCCGTTGGGTAAGCATCAGGCTGCTAACCAAAAGGTTCATGGTTCAAATCCACCAGTTGCTCCTCGGGAGAAAGTGGGAGCTGTCCGCTCCTGGAAAGATTTACAGCGTTGGAACCCCCATATAGACATCAGAGAAGTGGCGCTGGGGTCATAGTGGGCTATGCATTGACCTGCTAACTATGAGGTCAGTGGTTTATCTGTGAGGTCAGCCACTCTCTGAGAGAAAGCGGGGATTTTCTGCTAGTGGCACAGTGGCTTAAACACTGGACTGCTAACCACAGGCCAGCAGTTTGAAACCACCAGCTAACCTATGGCAGAAGGGTGAGGCTTTCTGCTACAGTAAAGATTTACAGTCTTGGAAACCCATAGGGGCAGTTCTACGGTATCCTATAGGGCAGTGGTTCTCAACCTTCTTAATGCTGCGACCCTTTCATACAGTTCCTCATGTTGTGGTGATCCCCCAACCATAAACTTATTTTTGTTATTTCATCACTGTCATTTGGCTACTGTTGTGAATCGGGCAAACCCTGTGAAAGGGTCGTTTGACCCCCAAAGGGGTCACGACCCACATGTTGAGAACCGCTGCTATAGGGCCTTTATGAGTCAAAATCGACTTGATGGGGTGTGTTGGTAGGGTATGTTCAGGAGCCCGGTGGCATAATGATCTGTGCTTGTGTTAGTCTAGGTAGACTAGAGAAACAAATCCAGGGAGACTCATATGCCTATAGAAAGAGCTTTCTATCAAAGAATAACTATATACTGAGAAAATATCCCAGTCCAGATCCAGTCTGTAAGTCCCCTATTAGCTCATATGTCCAATACCAGTCTCTACATTCCTCTTCAGACTCACGCAACACATGTAATGATGCTAAATGCAGGAAGATCACAGGCCAGTGGGTGGGAAGTCTTGTGGATCCAGTGGCGGTGGAAGCATCTCAGCGCTGGAGTGGGTCTCCACGTGGCTGCTCCAGCTCCAGGGCTCTGGCTCCTTCAGTGTGCCTCCATGTGGCTTGTCAGCAGGAAGAAGAAACAGAGAGCATGAATGGCCTCCAGTGACCTATTTAGCTCTTTGTGCTTCCAAAATGAGGTCAAAGCTGCGACCTGATTGACAGGCTAGACTCCACCCCTTTGCAAGTTGACAGGAGATTATGTAACTGCCACGTGGCTCAATTACTAAGATAAGGATTGGTGGCTGGAACCCATTCCAGAGTCCCTCAGAAGAAAGGCCTGGAATCTGCCTTTGTATAGACTACAGTCTGTGGATTTGTTTCCCTAGATTAATAGGGGAATTGGCTTGAAAATGGTGGGGTTTAATTTGGTTTGACAAGCAAAACAAAAGTCCAACTCATCGTGGCCCTGTGGGACAGGGCAGAACTGAGCCCATGGGGTTGTTCCAAGGCGGCAACTCTTTGCAGGAGTAGAAAGTCTTGCCTTTCTCCCTTGGAGCAGAGCTACTGTTGGTTTTGAACTGCTGACCCTTTGGTTAGCAGCCTAGCTCTTACCCACTGTGCCACCAGGGACTTCCTGCCTGCTGCTCAGTTGACGGTCCACTCCAACTCCCAGTGGCATCCCCCGAAGGGTATTTTAGTTGACGGAGTGAGGTTAGGATGCCTTTCTGTTTTCTTTATCTTTTTGTTTCTTAATCTGTTTTTTTAAAGATCAACAGAAGCATTAATCAGTGTAGCTAATTAGTATAATTAAATAGACCACACACAAAGAAAGATGTAGGTACAATTTAGGCTTCTCCTCGTTAATCACTACCTTTTACTTCAAACAGCTTTATTTTAACCTTGACTTTTTTTCCTTCCAAATTTGAATGTAAATTTTCTTCCCAACTTGCCCTCCTCTTTTTCTGAATCTAACGCGCTCTGGGGTCTCCTTGTTTCTGATTTCAGAGCCTTAGAGAACCTCACAAACAACAACAACAACAACAAAACCCTCCTAATTGTTTCCATTTTCTCTCTGCTTCAAATTCCTTTCCATAAACTGATGTTGAAGAAATCCACGAAAAATGTCAGCCTCTTTGATAACACTTGGCAAGGGCAGAAAAGAAGATGCCAGGCGAGGTGGTCCGGTCAGTCCGTGTGTGCCGGGGGGCCGGGCCTCATGAACCCACCAGGCGGGAAGCCCTCCTTAGCCGGCACCCTCAGTCTTTGAGGCTCACGTATATTAGGTCCAATCCACACAAGGCCACTCTTGGTCCCTGTGTTGGTCCAGGTTGACTAGGGAAACACATCCAGAGACACGCATATGTGTGTAAGAGAGCACTTGATATCAAGGAATAATTGCATATTGAGAAAGCACCTAGCTCAGTCCAGATCAAGTCCGTAATCCTGATATTAGCTGATATGTGCGATACTAGTTCACGAATTCCTCTTCAGACTCACACAGCACATGCAGTGACACCGAATGCAGGAAGATCACAGGCCAGTGGGGGGAAACTTGTGGATCCAGTGGTGGTGGAAGCATCTCAGTGCTGGCGCCGGTCTCCACGTGTCTCCTCCAGCTCTCTTGAGTGTCTCAACAGCAGGAAAGGGAGGAAGAAGTTCCCAGAATCCTCAGAAGGCCATGCCTACACAGAGGCATGATTGGCGATGGCCTGATTGACAGGCTAGACTCCACGCCTTCGCTCAAGTTGACAGGAGATGATGTAACGGCCACAGCCCCTCTTCCACATGGGGTTGCACACAAACCTGCTTTCTGAAGAGTGCAGGGTATCCAACAGATTTGCACATACGTTTTAAAAACCATGTTTTGAAAGACCTTCAAAAGTCATCTCAGCCCAGAGGAAACTATGCACTTGGAATGGTCATTCAGGTTCTCGGCGGGTGGGGGGGAGGATTGGGGCACCGTGATCCAGGTCTCCAGGTGATATATGAGAGTTTGACTTAGGCTTGGGAAAGCTGGCAGCTAAAAGGCAGGATCGGCAGCTGGAAAATATGGCCGTGGCGATCAAAACGAAGCTGGAGTTTGCAAGATAGACTTTTGCCAGAACAAGGACTTCTCCATTGCAAATATCTTTTTTCCACACAGAACCCTCAACTGTGCATGTGGACCCCCAGATGGAACACATAGGAATCAAATCAAGCACACCTGTGGCAAGAGACAATGGAGAAGCGCAACATCAGCAAAGGAAGGGCGGACCGACCGTAGCATGGATCATCAACTGCCCAGGAAAGCTGAAAGGTAAAGTTCAGGTTGAAGCTAAGGAAAATGAACACAAGTCCACAAGAGGCAACATATGACCATGAAGCTATCCCACTTGAATTTAGAGACCACCAGTCTCTCCCACCTGAATTTAGAGACCACGAGTCTATCCCACCTGAATGTAGAGACCATGAGTCTATCCCACCTGAATTTAGAGACCACGAGTCTATCCCACCTGAATTTAGAGACCACGAGTCTATCCCACCTGAATTTAGAGACCACCAGTCTCTCCCACCTGAATTTAGAGACCACGAGTCTATCCCACCTGAATTTAGAGACCACGAGTCTATCCCACCTGAATTTAGAGACCACCTCTAGAACAGATTTGATGCATTGAACACAAATGACTGAAGACCAGCTGAACTGTGGGATGACATCAGGACCAGCATTCATGAAGAGAGCAACAGGTCAAAGTATAAGTATTATGCTTACAAAGCAAAGTATTCTAATAACACGAGCAAATACCTGAAGCTGGAAACCTAAACGGGAGGAACACGCTCTGTATCTCAGGATGAAAGGATGTAAGCCTCGAGTTGAAATACTGAAGGATTCTACGGGCAAAATATTGAATGGTGCAGGAAGCATGGAAAGGAGATGGAAGGATTAGACAGAGTCACTGTGCTAAAGAGAACTGATCAACATTCAGCCATTTCATTAATGAGTGTCGCCGAATGAAACGATGCTTCTTTATGATGTGTGACAGAAGTTGTCAGACGGACAGACAGACAGACACCACGGTCTGGGTAGTTTCTAACTAACCGGTGGCCATGGAGTCCACACTCCCCATCCCTCTCCCATCTGACCCCCACCCCACCCCTGTCAGTAGAACTGTGCTTCCCCCCTGCGGCTTTCAATGGCTAGTTTTCCACAAGTGGATCTCCAGGCCTTTCTGCCGAGGTGCTCTTGTGGGCCCAAACTCGGAGCTGTCAGGTGAGCAGCTGAACTGTCTGCAAGCCCCCAGGACGTCCTTGCCTACCAAATTGCTCTGACCACCTGGCTAGACATCCCATCCATCCCAGCGAGGGAGCCTGCAGGCTCCCTTGTGGGCGGCAAACCTTGTCTTTGCAAACGCGTATGCTGCCACCCAGTGGCTTTCTTGACAAATTGCACATTTGCCCAGCATGCCAAACTCACCCCCGGCTGCAGCTGTTAGAGCAGGAAGTGGGTGGCAACGCACCATGAATGACCTGATGTACAACCGAACGAACCGCTGCCCAGGCCTGCGCCAGCCTCACAATTGCTGTATGTTGGAGGCCATCGTTTCGGGCCTGGTGTCAGTCCATCTCATCAAGAGTCTTCCTCTCACTTCACCCTCCCCTTGACCTAGCACGACGTCCCTTTCCAGGGACTGGTCTCTCCTGACATGTCCAAAGTACCTGAGATGAGGTGTCTCTCTCCCCTGGCCTTTAAGAAGCATCCTGGCTGTACTTCTTCCAAGACAAACGTGTATGTTCTTTTGACAGTCCTCACCGGCACCATCATTCAAATGCAGTGATTCTTCTCTTCTTCAATGTCCAACTTTCACACGCATAGGAGATGATTGATCACGCCATGGCTTGGATCAGATGCACGTTAGTCCTCAAAGTAACACCCTTGCTTGTCTTGTGCAAAACAATCTCATCCCTGAGAGCTTAAACCAGCCCCTGTGGAGTCGCTTCCTTATTGGCTCTAATCTAGTTCATTCTCGTTTTCTCGTGAGATTGGTATTGGCCACCACTGCAGTCCCAGAGAATATCTTCAGCAATGACAACTGGGATTCAGCCTTCCATTCAGCCTTTCCCAGGGCAAAAGAAGCATCTCGTTGACAAAGAGCCCATGGTTGAGTTGCTTTGACATCTTAGGGGCTTAGCCACAACTATCTGAATAATTAAGACTGGGTTCTATCCCCTCATCCAGTTCCGTTTCTTACCTGAATCACCTGGTGATCATTTTAAAGCATCCATATTTGGCCTTCCTTACCTAGACTAGTGTGTTAGTCCTGTAGACTAGAGAAACAAATCCAGGGAGAATACTTGAATATTGAGAAAACATCCCAGCCCAGTCCAGATCAAGTCCGTAAGTCTGATAGTAGCCTATAGGTTTGATACCAATATATAAAGTCCTCTTCAGACTCAGGAAACACATACAATGACACTGAATGCAGGAAGATCACAGGCCAGTGGGTGGGAAGTCTTGGAGATCCAGTGGTGGTATAAGCATCTCAGCGCTGGCAGGGGTCTCCACATGGCTTCTCTGGCTCCATCAGCCTCTCTCCATGTGTCTTCTCCACAGGGACGTCTTGCAGGGAGTGAGCCAACAGAGCGAGCATCTCCCATCTCAAAGGAGGAAATACAGGAGTTCCCAGGATCCTCAGGAGAAGGCCATGCCCCACAGAGGTCTCATTGGCGATATCCTGATTGACAGGCTAGACTCTACCCCTTCACTCTTAATCCTCAAAGCGACACCAGATGATGTAACTACCACAACAAGGCATTTACTTTTCTTAAAAACAAAAACAATAAATCTCTTGAATTCTGTTTCATTTTGGGCATTACAGATACAACCCAGAGACGTTTAAGGAATGTAAAGTGAATTTCCTGATTTTTCTACTGGATGGACCTGTTCATTTTCATTCTGTTTAGCAAAGTCTCACCTCCTCCCAGACACTCCGTTTCTTCCACCATAAAGGGGATGATCATGACCATCCTGTCTCTTGGGATTGTTGGAGAACAGAGTGAACTCACATAGGAAAGCCTTGGCAGGTGGCATCATCCTATACCAAGATAAAAGCCCAGTGCTGCCAAGTGATGGGGATGCATGGCAACCCTGCAGGACAGAATAGAACTTCCCCATGGGGCTTCCAAGGATGTCATCTTTAGAGAGGCAGGCCGCACAGCTTTCTCCAGGGGAGCGGTCCTTGGGTTTGAACCGATAACCTTTTGGCTAGCATCAGAGGTCTTTATCCACTGCACCACCAGGGCCAACTGACCTGCCCGTCTTTTGCCTCCAGCTCCCGTATTACTGAGAAAGATTCAAGCTGAGATGTTTCCGGACCATTCTGGAAATGTGAGGTTAAGCTGCCAGTTTGCGGAAATTCATGAAGAGTCTACCATCTGGTGGACAAAGGATGTGAAGCCCATAGCCCAAGTGCAGAGAAGGTAGGTTGTTGGCCCTGGGTCCCCTTCACAGCGGTTCTTGAGGAAGACCAGGTATCAGGAGAGTGGAACGGAAGGCTGGAGAGGAGACTCCAGACAGAGCACAGGGGAGCAGGGTGGCAGGGCCTCCGTGGCCTTGGGGCGTCACAGGACCGCTCATCGAGGCTGTTAAAACCAGGGAGATGTGCCACGGGCTGTCTAGATGGAAGGTCTGTGACACCGAGTTCAAAGAGCTTGTCTGTCCGTGAGTTGTTCTTGTGAGTGTGTTTCTGTCTAATTTCCTGCTGCCCAGACCAGGAACAGACCAAGCCGAGAAGGTGAATGCAAGAGAAACATACACATACACATACCAGGCTGAACATGACCGAAAAGGAACAGCTGTGTTGATGGCGGTGCACAGCCGTCTATCTCTAAGCTAGGAGAGCAGGGTTATCAGAAAGACAGCCCTGTGGCATAGTGACTGCGGATTGGGCTGCTAACCACCAGGTCAGCAGTTCAAACCCGACTGTCACTCCACGGAGGAAGGATGAGGCTTTCTTTCTGCTGCTCCAAAGACGTACAGCCTTGGAAACCCACAGCGGCAGTTCTGCTCTGTCCTGCAGCGTCACCAGGCATTGAAATAGATCTGATGGCAGTGGGGGCTGTGTGTGTGTGTGTTGTGTTGTTTGGGAGGATATTAGAAAGGAGACCTGTTGGCACAATGGGTACACGCTCAGCTGCTAATTGAAAGGTTGGCCTGATTCAGACCCACCAGCCACTGTGTGCGCGAAATGAGCTGACCATCCGCGTCTAAGAAACCACCCGGGGCAGTTCTTCTCTGTCCTACGGGGTCGACATTTGTTGGAGTGACCACTTGGGCACAAAGGTGTGAAATCCCTTCTTCGTATTCCTCCTCCTCCCCAGTTTATGCTGGTACTTCTCGCTGGCCACCCGCTCCCTAACGGGGGACTCTCCGCGCAACGCCTCTGATTTTAAAAGGTGTAATCACAAGTTTCCCCAGCACTAGGCACAGAGAGGATGCTCCACAAACACTGGGCAGAACTGTTTGGGGACTTAGATAAGAAGTCGTTTTCTTTCGTGGAAAAGGCCCATGAAAATAAACTAGAATGTAATATAAAATAGATACGTCACCTACGGGCAGTTCTCATGTTATGTACTTTGCTTGGGAGCAGTTCGCTGGCAGCAGGTTGTGGGAGGGGTTATTGAACTTTGCGGGAATTGTGTTGTTTGTTTTAAAACGCACTGAAAGTGTGTGGCGAGGCTGCGTGCAGCAAACTGACCTTTCCAACAGCACGGGCTCCCACTGCGTCTCTGTTTCACCGGTTAGGCCTGCTCCCCGGGCTTCTAGCTTCCTGATCATGCTGTCGTACACGTCATGGGCCACTAAAACCCCAAACTGGCCACCATCAAGTCACCACGGACTCACAGCAACCCGCTGTGGGTTTCCAAGACTGTAACTGTTTGCAGGAGTAGAAAGCCAAATCTTTCTCCCAGGGAACTGCTGGTGGTTTCGAACCTCCAACCATCCGGATCACAGGCCAGCGCGTAACCACTGCACCACCAGGACTCCAGGGCATAGAGTAAATGTAATGTCTAGAAGTCCTGCCCAGCTTGTGGTGACTGTGGCGATCTTGCCTTTTGGGGCCAAAGGAGTCCGTGGCTGCCCTACTGTGAGGCCAGTAGAAACAGGCGGCTTTAGAATGACTAGGTTTGTTGATGTCCCCCTGCAGTGCGGGCGACCACTCCACTGTCTCCTTGGCCATTGTGCAAGCCAGTCAAAAGGACCAAGGCCTCTATACCTGCTGCATCAAGAACACCTACGGCAGAGTGACCGCTGAGTTCAGGCTCACGGCAGAAGGTAGGTCAAGGTCACCGCTGCTGGTTCTCGCAGGCGGCTCAGCGTGCACATTTGTCCTGAAGCCTCCCTCTCTCTGTCTCCTAGTTCTGCGGCGGCTCTCGGCACAGCAGGAGAGCAAAGGTGAGCCCGTCTGGGGGCAGGTAGGGGTCCAGGCAGCGTGGCGCGAGCTCAGGAATGGCTGGGGGAGGAAGGACTACCTATCCTGGGCTGTTTCACCTGAACGTCAGGTCCTCGCTTCGTGGGTGGGAGCTTCAAAAAGTTCCTGGAACACCTCCGTGATCTGTGAATTCCCTTTTCCATCAACGTTTTGAAGCCCCTTCTTCTCACAGTTCCATTAGACTCTGAGAACACGGTGTGTCGTGATGCGGGCAGTGGTGGGTGCTGGCAGCAGGGGACGGGGCGCGGGGAAGACTGCTTCCTTTAGGTGTGAACGCCGAGGGGTGGCTCAGGGACTTCCGGGTGGCCCTGACACATTGGACCGCTAACCACAAGGTCAGCAGTTCAAAACCACCAGCTGCTCTTCCGGAGAAAGAGGAAGGTTTCTGCTTCAATGCAGACGCACAGCCTCGGAAACCCACGGGGCAGTTCTACCCTGACCTATCGCCGAGGTGACCGTGACTGGACGGCGGAGTTCTGTGGGAGCGCCTCGGCGGCCTTCCATTGACATCTCAGTCTGACTCACGGGGGAGAGGGGGACACTCGCCTGCAACATAAGAAAGGGGAAGAGGGTGTTGGCGCTTTCCGGAAACGGCAGCCAGCAGCAGCCCCTGAACTCCCAGCCTGCCCCTGGGCGGGCCGCCAAGCGGATGTAGCTTAGTGAGTCTGCGTGTTCCCTCTGAGGGGAAATTACACATCACACACACACACACACACACACACACACACACACACACACACACCTTATGTTAGTCCAGGTAGACTAGAGAAACAAATCCAGAGACACCCATATGGGTGTAAGAGAGAACTTTATATCAAAGAGAAATTGTACATTAAGAAAATATCCCAGCCCAGTCTAGATCAAGTCCATGAGTCTGATATTAGCCCATATGTCTGATACTAGTCCATAAATTCCTCTTTAGATTCACACAGCCATGCCATGATGCTGAATGCAGGGAGATCACAGGCCAGTGGGTAGACAATCTTGTAGATCCAGTGGTGGTGGAAGCGTCTCAGTGCTGGTGTGGGTCTCCACATGGCTCCTCCACCTCCAGGGCTCTGGCTCCATCAGCGTAGCTCCCTGTGGCTTGTCAACAGGAATGTCGCACAGAGAGTGAGTGTGTATCTGCCTCCAGTGAGCTATTTACCTCGGTGGCGCCTCCAAATGAAGTCATCAAGTTGTGACCTGATTGACAGGCTAGACTCCACCCCTTTGCAAGTTGACACCAGATTATGTAACCACCACACACCTCCACATACATACCTACTTCCTCACACATAGTCACCTTCACACACCCACATCACCTACACACATGCGCACACACATACACACCTCTCCCCCCACAGTCACCTCCACACACATTTCCCACACATGCCCACCTGCACGCACCCATTCCACATCTACATCCACACACATACTTCACCTCCATACTCACACCCACCTCCACCCATTTCCACTCCCCCACCACCTCCATACCCTCCGCATGCACACTTTCACTTACACCCACCTCCTCACTATGTCCATTTCCACACAGACACCCACCTCCACATTCATGCCTACCTCTACACAGATCGCCCCCTACGCCCAGAAAACCAGCCCAAACCCACTGCCATCACGTCAGTGCCGACTCATAAGGACCCTAGCAGACAGGGTAGAACCGCTCCTGCACGCTTCTGAGATTGTCACTCTTTATAAGAGTAGAAAGCCCTATCTCTCTCCCAAGGAGCAGCTGGTGGTTTTGAACTGCTGACCCTGCAGTTAGCAGCCCAATACATTACCACTCTGCCATGAGGCTCTTCCCTCCACCCATAGCTGAGCTGGAAAATATGTACCAGCCTCCTGGGGCTCAGGAGGCTCTGCTGTGTAGTCTTTCTGTTTCTCAAGGGTGACTAGTGCCCGGTGGCTGATTGGGGACAGGATGTCACTGAGCATGCTGTTAGGACGAGGTGCAGGAACTGGGCCGACCCCTCATGGGGCCTGAGAGTGGGAGTGGGCAATGTGCTGGGTTGCTGACCAGAAAGGCAGAGATTGGGGTCCACCCAGAGGTGCCTCGGAAGAAAGGCCTGGAATCTTCTTCCAAAACCCTCCCTTTGAAACCCCTTTGAGGTACAATCCTGCCTTGACACATGTGGGCCCCATCATCCGAGTAGATCCACAGGCCACTGGTTTGCCTTGGTCACTTTGGGAAGTGATATGCAAATGAAATTGATTTAGCATCTTCAAGATTTACTGCATGGGCTGATTGCTAAAGCAAGCAAAATACCTGCAAAGGTAGGGAATCCTAATCCAAACCCACTGCCATCACGTCGGTGCTGACTTACAGTGACCCTAGAGGACAGGGTAGAACTGCCCCTGTGGGCACGTCAGAGACGGTCACTTTTTACAGTCCCGGACCCATGGAGTGGCTGGTGGATTTGAACCATTGACATTGCAGGTAGCAGCCTGCCTTGAAACCCCGCATGGCACCAGGGCTCCTTGGGAAAGTGGGGAAGGCTTTGTGAGAACGGGACAATAAATCAAAAAGCCATTATGCCCCTGAAAGGCAAGTCACTTGGTCTGGGCTAGAAACGGTCTAGCAAACGCCATGACATGCATTCAACATAATGTTTACATGAGCTCTTCTCAAACCCAAGGAGTAAACGTGTGTCCCACCTCCAGTGAGCTATTTATCTCCTCAGTGCCTCCAAATGAAGTCATCAAGCTGCGACCTGATTGACAGGCTAAACTCCACCCCTTCACTCTGAAGTCTCAAATTGACAACAATTACCTAACTGCCACAACTTCTGTAGGACCTTGATTGGCAGACGGAGTTGTTCCCTTGCCCTCCTCCTCTCCCTTCTTCCTCCCTAGCTTGCTAATCCCTTTCGTAGTTCATTCTCCATAGGAGAAACAAACAGCATTTTACAAGGCATCCTCTCATTTAAAAACTAACAAAAGGACGACAAGCAGGAGAAAGCCCAGGATGACCCGGGCTAGCCCTGCTGAGCAGTGTGGTCAGGCATTATGAACATGCTTGGGGGTGCCCTCCCCACCGTTAAGCAGTCTTCCTACCAGGACCCTCCCCCACTCCTGCACATTCACTCTGTGTGCCTCTTCTTAGCACCCGGATTTAACCCCTATGGGTGCAGCCAAGATCCTGAGAGAAGTGTCTTGAGACACCAACACTCATTTGCATAGCTCTGTCGGGTGGACTCCAGTATGGGGGGTGGGGTGCTGGTTCTTTCGCCTGGAGCGAGCCCTGAGGACATGGTAGGCAGCTTGGAATCTGAGCCAGGGCTGGAGCCTGCAAGGTTTCAAAGAAAAGTCTGCCTTCTGCACAACTCGAATGGCCACATTCCTCTCTGACTAGACTCCCCCAGAGAACTCCCTGGGCTCAGCTCTGGGCCAGTGAACCTGGGTCACCTCGAGTCAGAGTGGTAGGGGCCACAGGTCAGCCTGTCAGTGGCCCTTTCTAGGGGTAGGATTAGTTAGTCCAGCATGGGGATGGGAGGGTATGCGATCTCACTGCAGTTATGCTGTGCTTCAGGCTGTGAGGAGATTGAATTCAGCCAGCTCCTCTTCAAAGAGGACTTCCTCATGGACAGCTACTTTGGGGGCAGCCTCCGGGGTCAGATAGCCACAGAGGAGCTGCACTTCGGGGAAGGGGTCCACCGCAAGGCCTTCCGCAGCACAGTGATGGAGGGCCTCACGCCCGTCTTCAAGCCAGGCCATGCCTGCGTGCTGAAGGTCCACAACGCCATCGCCTACGGGACCAGGAACAATGACGAGCTCGTCCAGAAGAACTACAACCTGGCTGCCCAGGTCAGTCCATCTGCCCAAGCCTGCCCGGCATGCACCATGCCCGGCGTGAGAGGGGCTGAGGTGCAAATCAGCCTGGGAGTGGAGGTTCCATTCGCTGGAGGGAGGTGGGCATCCCACCTCTGTCTCTGGGTCTCACACCCGCCCACTGGCTGGAGACACCTCACCAGCTCTGAGCTGGGTCTGGGAACTTTCTGGGCCTCAGAAGCCCCGTGAGATCCCTGGGAGTTTGGATCTTCATGGACATGGCATAGCATGGGGGTAGGGGTTCCAAGCGGAACCAGAAGCTACACCCCACCTCCCCAAGGTGGTTCTGGGGCTTTATAAATCAGGGACCATGGAGACTACTTGACCTTTTCCCTGGGGCAGGTCCTTCAGGGCTCAGGGCTCCTTTGCGAGTGACAGTAATGGTTGCTCCTGAGTGTGGACCCATGTCAGCCCTTAAGCCAGCAGTTGCCCTGTGTCCCTGGCTCAGTGCCCACACCTCTACCATGTCGCTGAGCCACAGAACTTTTAAGGGTGAAGGAGACCCTGAGCCCGTACATGGACTTCCCTCAGGAGGCACCAACATTGGCCAAGCGATCAAGAGAGCTGGGCCGAGCTCTGACTGCACGTCTCTCCTTGTCAAAACCATACCATGAAGAGGTTAGACTTGGGTGGATCTCTTGGGTCCCGCCAAACCTTTGCCACCCGTGATTCTCTCAGATGCAGCGATGTCCTCGGGGACTTTGCGTGTGTGAAACAAACCTTCTCCACTGGAGGGTTTTGCAGTCACCTTCCTTATCCCTCCTCTCTCCTTTCTTCCCTTTCACGGAGCGGTCCTTCCCTCTGAAACACTGCCTGGCCCAGTCATGAAAAACCCCCCAGCCTCTCGATGGCTACTCTGAAAGGCCCCGCCCCCAATAAACAGGCTCCAGCTTGCTTTCTCCTAAGCCAACCATGCTGCCCCAGGGCTTACTATTTACTGCCCCGATGACAACTCTGACGAGGAATCTAGATGGGGAATCCCAGCAGGCCACCAACCAAGAGCTTCCTCTGGCGTCTTGCCCAGGGGTCAGCCATCTCAGCTCAGGGGTGAACTTTCACCATGCTGGTTCTAGAATGTTATAGTCCATGGACACCTGCTACAGAGACCATCTGACCTCTGCCGGGGACGGTTCCTTTGGGGCTCAGAGAGTCTCTGTGAATGGCCAACTCTACGTTCAATGATAATTACTTCTACAACCCGGCTCATGGTGAGGGTTTGAGAACCCACAGTCATGACCCACATTGGGAAATCTCCCTATTAGCTTGAATCCAACTCTGCCAATTAGCCTGACATCAACCCTCTGTCTGGATTTCTTCTGGTAACGTCACTTCCCCGTCTCTTTGGTGACACAGGAATGCTACGTCCAAAACACTGCCCGGTATTATGCCAAGATCTACGCCGCTGAAGCACAGCCTCTGGAAGGCTTTGGAGAAGTGCCCGAGTAAGTGTTCGCCTGTCTGGTACTGCCAACCCTAAGTTGCTAGAGACCCAGAGAGCTGAAAGGGTGAGCCGGGCTGGGAGGATGAAGGTTCCACTTGATCTTTCAGCTTGTAGACCCCACGAGGGCACATGTAACTGCCGTCCCGCTCACGTATGGCTCCAGATGCTTGGAGAGAGGTACCCCCGAAAGAGTCTTTGAATACATGCGTGTGTGCCTGCGCGGGCAGATGGATGGATGGATGGATGGATGGATGGATGACTCAATTCATTCAATAACTGTATCTGCCATACACCTGTGAGAGCCAGGCAGTAGGAAAGGCAGCATCAGAAAGATGGACACATTTGAATCATGGGGTTGGTTGGCAAAGAATATTGGATATCCCCAGGATGGCTAGAAGGATACCTAAGCAAGAGCAAGTATAGCCAGGATGCTCCTTAGAACCAAGGATGCTGAGACTTGATCTCACATACTTTGGACTTATCAGGAGGGACCAAGCCCTGGAGAAAGACAGCGTGCTTGATAAAGCAGCCGGTCAGCGCAGAAGAAGAAGAACCTCAGTGTGGTGGATTGACACAGTGGGGGACAGGGGGGCTCAAATGCAGTCCTGTCCTATTGAATGTACCCAGGGTGTCCCATGACTTGCAGCTGACTCGACGGGACCTAACCACATCACAACCGCAACACGTCACACGTAGGAGTTCTTCTCTCCCGCATTGTCCAAATAATCCGCAAACAGAAAAGCACAGGAGGGATCAGAAACCATTTCATCCTCCGGCCAAAGGAAGACCCAGTGGCGTGTCAGGGAAGAATGAATTGCGTGGTCGGGAAAGGCCTTCCTAAGGGGATGGCATGTAATCAGATACTAAGATGATGAAAAGAAGCTGGCTCGTTGAAGAGCTGAAGAATGACCATTCCGGATCCAGAGTCTTGCTAGTTCAAAGGCCCAGGGCAGTAGAGGGCTTGGCATGTTCCAGACACAGAGGGGGCCAGTGTGCCTGGATGCCAGTGGGGGGAGAGTGGTAGGAGCGAAGTCAGAGAAGCGACTATTAATTGTGAATGTTGTGTGGAGGAAAGAAGGGAGAAAAATTCGACCATGACTCCAAAGTTGCTAACTTAGGAGACTGGGTAGCTGATGCTGTCCTGCCAACAGACTGATTCATATTGCTGCCCTGCCAACAGACTGATTCATAGAGGTGGGTGGAAAGGGGAGACATGAATTTTGCCCTTGTCATGTGTGACGGTTGTGACATTGAGGTATGTCCAATGTTGTAGCTAATTGACCACATATACCTGGAGCTCACAGATGAGGCTGGAGCCAGCGAGCTAGGTGTGCTGGGCCTCCACACATTGATAGTGGCTGTAGTCACGATCTGGGTACAGTACGTAGAGCAAGAACACAAGAGGCTCAGCATGGAACGTGGAGAAACCGAGCCTTAGGGGCAGGGAGTGTGTTCAGTGGAACAGGTATCAGCTAACGCTGGGAAACATGAGCGGTGGGACACCATCAGGGGAAGAGGAGTTCCCGAGGGAGAAGGGGTCAGCAGTGTCAGCTGCGAAAGGTCCTTGGAGTCATTAGAGGCCATCAGAATGGGTCCCCTTGTCTCCAAAGCCCATTAGTAGGCCACTGGAGATCCCCTTGCAGAGGGGTCTCGGGGAGGAGATGAGCCAGTCAGGGTGCGATGTAACAATGATGAGAAATACAATCTTCCTCTAGTTCCTAAAGGTTTCCTCCCCGCTCCCACTACCATGACTCGAATTCTATCTTGAAAGACTGGCTAGACCAGAGGAGGTACACTGGTACAGATAGGAACTGAAAATACAGGGAATCCAGGACGGATGAGCCCTATAGGACCAGTGGTGTGAGTGGCAAAACAGGGAGGGTAAAGGGAGAATGGGTAGGAAAGAGGGAACCGAGTACATGGAACTGTGTGTGACCTCCTCTCTGGGGGACAGACAACCGAAAAGTGGATGAAGGGAGACTTCGGACAGGGCAAGATATGACAAAATACCCATTTATAAACTATCAAGGGCTCATGCGGGAGTGGGGAGCGGGGAGGGAGGGGAAAAATGAGGACCTAATGTCGGGGGTTTAAATGGAGAGAAAATCTTTTGAGAAACGATGTACAAAACGCACTTTACACAATTGATGTGTGTATGGATTGGGATAACAATAAAATTGTTAAAAATAAATAAAATAATAAAATAATAAAAATAAATAAAATGTTAAAAAAGAATGGGTCCCCTTGTCAAATGAGGAGCAATGGGTCAAGGAGAGATTTGGAATCAAGGCCTGGGACCCACATGGAAGCCACCTTTTCAAGAAGTGGAAGAACAAATGAAGAGGAGTAGAATGGGGGTGGGTCGGGGGAGCCCCTTTGGAGGACAACAGTGGGGGCAATTTCTTTTGTATGAAGTTGGTTTGCTTCATTGTTGTTGAGAATCAGCACAGCAAAGCAGACACCATGTCAGCCATTTCTATCAGCTTGATTCTAGTGGCATTGTTTGCCCTGGAGTTGTGCATCAGCCTTACCCTTCTTTTCTGAGAGGGTCTTCCTCCATGAACATAAACTCACAACCTATAAGGTTCCTATCTAATCTTTGAGTCACTGTTGTCAAGGGGATCCCATTGAGATAGATTAAAAAAAGAGAATGTTCAGAAGGCTCAAGGCAGACCTTCTCAACTAGCGAAGCTAAACCGCTGTCTAGTTTTAAGAAGACTTCAAAGGGATATTTTTGGTTGAAGGTAGAAAGATGGTCTCAGGGCAGTGGGTTCAGGGGTTCATCCAGCCTTGACGGGCTCAGGAAGTCCGGATGCCATGAGAATTTGAAACTTGGCTCTGCATCCCCCTCCCCACTCGCTTTGGTGAGGATTGTTCTATCGTACCGTTGATCCAAAGGTTTGATGATAGTAGCCTGGCATCCCCCAGTTCTTCTGGTCTCCTGGCAAAGGAGGCAGTTGATCACGGAGGCCAGTCGCCACACCTTGCATTTCCTCCAGTGTGGGGGTGACTTTGAAAGATGGGGAGATGGGAGCAAGTTTGTCACCGTGGGGAACAAGAGAGGAGCTGAAGGGTTCAAACGGGACGGATCTACAGAAGACCAGTCCTGTGGCAATTATGTCATAGACGTCAAGGATTGGAAGACTTTGGGGAAGTCGATATTTAAAATATTGAGGGCCAACAGGCAGAATAAAGGCTCTTACACAGATATTTCTAGAAGTGACTTCTACCAATTTTTATGACATTTAAAACATAATCATTGAGTATAATTTTTATAATATAGGTCTATGAATCAGAAGAAGAATTTGTTTTCTCTCAATAGTATTTTGCTGATTTGCGGTTCAGAATTAGGGTCCTCTATGATCAGAGCCCTCGTAGATTAAACAATTGAGTTGCTTAACCTCAAGGTCAGCAGTTAACACCTACCAGCCACTCTGAGGGAGAAAGATAAGACTTTCTACTCCCATTAAAAAGTTAGTCTCAGAAATTCACAAGAGCAGTTCTCCACTCTCCTGTGCAGGGTTGCTATGAGTTGGAATTGACTTCATGGCAGTGATTTTGGGGGAAATTTTTATGATCAAGTGGGTTTCAAATGTTCACCCGTGAAAATTATTCTTGAGGGCTGTTACGATAACCAATGTGGGGCTGGGTTAGACCTGTAGGCAATGCTTTGTGCCTCCTGCTAGAGAACTTCCTCTGCTTTGCCCACAGTGAGCAGTCGATAGGCGGAGGGATGAAGACCATCCCTCGCAGGTCCTCCTATCCTGCAGCAGGGCCACCTCTGACTACCTTATGTGAACTAGCAGCCCCTTGCCCACACTTGCCCTGCCCATTTCCTTGCCATCGCTTTGGTTTCACAAGGCAGAACCTCTATTTTATATTTATATAAATCCACATCCATGAGACCGATGGACACAGTGGCTGCAACAATGGGCTCAGGTACGGGGACAATTGTAAGGATGGCACAAGACCACACAGTGCTTCATTCTGTTGTGCACAGGGTCGCTGTGTGTCAGAACCGACTTGTTGGCACTTAACAACAATGCTTTCTGAAGCAATGTCTAGAAGTGTTTGACAATAGAAACCACTTAATAAATATTTGTTGACTTAATGGAAGGAAGTAAAGATGCATGGATGCCCAGATGGCTGCATGCATAGATGAGAGGGTGGATAAATGGATGGTTTCATAGGCTGCATGCAAGGTTGAGTAGGTGAATGGGTGGATGTATGGATGGATGGATGAATGATGGCTGTATGCATGGTTGAGTAGATAAATGGGTGGATGGATGGATGGATTATGGCTGCATGCATGGTTGAGTGGATGCATGGGTGGATGGATAATGAATGGATGATGGATAGATGAGGGATGGATGGATAGATTATGGTTGCATGCATGGTTGAGCAGATGAATAGGTAGATGGCTGATGGATAGATGATGGATGGATGGATGGATGGATGGATGGATGGATGGATGGTTGGATGGATGGATGGGTGGGTGGTTGGCTGAATGCATGGTTGAGTAGATGAATGGATGGATAGCTGATGGATGGATGGCTGCATGCATGGTTGAGTAGATGAATGGATGTATGTATAGATGCATGGTTGGGTGGATAGATAGATGAAAGGATGGTTGAACTACTGTTATCTGATCAATAGGCCACTGAGCTATAATTATAATACAGACATCTATGAACAACTAAATTCCATTCCAAGGAGAAATTCCTAGGCAACTCTAGGAGAAATAAAAACAGAAATGTACCCTCTTACCTAGTGAAACAATCGCAGGGGAGGATTGTAGGCTAAATCCAGGGGAAGCCAGGGACTGACTGCAGCTCTCTGCTGCTCCGGGGAGGAGTAGCAGCACCTGGGTGTTTCTGCTTGTCTGAGCTCCAAGTGGGTCCATGTTCTCTCCCCTGCCAGGATCATTCCTATTTTTCTCATCCACCGGCCTGAGAACAACATCCCGTATGCAACCGTGGAGGAGGAGCTGCTCGGGGAATTTGTGAAGTATTCCATCCGGGATGGGAAGGAAATAAACTTTTTGAGAAGAGAGTCGGAGGCTGGTCAGAAATGCTGCACCTTCCAGCACTGGGTATACCAGAAGACAAGCGGCTGCCTCTTGGTCACAGACATGCAGGGTGAGGAGGGAGGCTTGGCTCAGGCTCCAGGGATGCTGTGTGCTTGGGGCGGGCGAGGATGGGGAGGGAGGGGAGTGTGGGGGCAAGTCTCCTAGACAACTCCATGATGCCTTTAGGCAGCGCCACCAACAAAAGGGGCGTTCGTCTCTCCAGACTGAGTTTTGTGACAAGGGGTCCTGAAATGGCCAACCAGAAGGTGTCATTGCACAGGTTGTAACAATTCCTCCTAGCAAAGCCTTCCCGTTACCCAAAGGTGGGCTTTATTGTTAGCCCCTCAGTCAGTGCAAACCCAGAAACATGTAAGGAACCCCACTGAAGAAACGTCCATGCCACACACACACCAATTCCCCAAACAAAACACGGTCCAACAGCTACCTATTCTGCTCAGGCTCCTGCGGTGCCATCCTTCTGTCTTCTTCTCCACAGAGAATTATACATTCCAACTCAGGTTTCCATAGAAACGTAATATCCCAGGGCATGTACACAGCTAGCTTCAACGCCTGTCCCAGGGAAGCCGCCGGCATGGCTGTAAGCAGGCGAATGCAGCAGGTGGTGGAGCGGGGTTTCAGTGGAGTGCTTGCCCTGAGGACTCACTCTCTCATGACAGTGGCTGAAGACAGCGTGTCCATTCTCCAAGCACTGTTCGCCTCTCATCACTGTACAGAGACACCGAGGTTAGGACTGAAAAACCACAGAGCCCTCAAACTCAGCCGCCAGCCACTTACTCTTAAAAGCTGCTGATTCCCGGTTGGCATTTGCTTGTTTCCCAAACGGTGCCCCTGCCAGCGGACTTGTGGATGGGACCCCAGGGCTGTGCCCACTGGTGAGGCCACTTTGGGATTTTCAAGGATCTGTCACGCAAAAGATGCAGGAACTCAAGCTCTAGGGAACACATTCCCAGTGCTGCCGTCTTTCCGTCCATCAGGAACAGCCTGCAGAGTATGGTGACCCACAGCTCAGCTTAATCATGACGCACCAGAGCCCTGGTAGCATAGTGGGTTAGGAGCTGGACTGCTAACCACAAGGTCAGCAGTTCGAGCCCACCAACCACTCCAAAGGAGCAAGAGAAGGCTTTCTATTCCCATAAAGATTTACAGCTTTAGAAACCCATTGTGGGCAGTTGTACTCTGTTCTAAGCATAGAGTCACTATGAATTAGAATTGAAGTCAACGCCGTTTGAGCTTTTGAGAATCCAAATTATCATCCAATAGAAGCCCTGGTGGCACAGCGGGTTATGCATTGAGCTGCTAACGGAAAGGTCAGTGGTTCAAACCCACCCGCTGCTCCGAGGGAGAAAGATGAGGCTGTTCATTCCCATACAGACTTAAAGCCTCAGAAGCTCACAGGGGGCCTTCTTCCCTACCCTGCAGGGTTGCTGTGAGCCAGAATCAGCTCCTTGGCAGTGAGCCAGAGAGAGGCCTTTAATAACCTCAGTTGGACTGCTGTCACAACGGTAAAAACCAAGAGAACCATTTCATTTTAAAGGTTATATCTTTTTTTTTCCTTTCTAAACTGCAAGTGACGTTTGTCTGGTAATTGTGACAACCAGGGTGGGAATACCCCCACTCCCCAATTGCAAAGCCTCTTTGCCAAGTGACTTTTTAATATCAGATGTCCATGCAGCTCAGGAAGGAAAAAAAAGCTGCGATTCTGAAATACATTCAAGATGTCCGAGGGGAGCCCTTGTTTGTGTTTTGCTTTTTTGAAAGCATGGACCCCGGCCTACAAGCTACGTGAAGCAATCCTCCATAGGTTCTTGTTGTGAGCAGCTTTGAAAGAATGAGCTCAATTAGCTGCCAACTGTGAACGAAGCGCTTCAAAGGCTCACTAGAGCACTCAATGTGCCGTGTCTAGTTTAGCCCGCAGGTGCCGCACAGAGAAGCAGGCTCTGGGGTCTGTGACTAACCAGCTGGAGCTGCCACATGGCCAGACTCTGCTGAAGCAGCCCATTCACCCGCCAGCCTTCCTTTGCAGGGCCCATGGAGCCATGGAGAACCCTGGGTCTGGGGTTCCATGCTTGGCTGCCGACCAGAAGGCTGGGGCTTGGACCCATCAGCTGCTTATGAGAGAGAAGGCCGGTGCTCCACGGTGCCCCACGGGCAGCTCCACTCGGTCACGCCAGGCTGCTAGGAGTTGAAATGGTTGGACGGCACACAGTGACCACAGGCTGCCATCAGATCTGACCCCGGGGAGTGGGGTTGGGTGGCAATTGCCTGCCTCCCTGATGGCCCCGGATGTGGGGCCGAGCTGGGGTAGTACGAGGGAGGTGGCTCTGCTCTCTGCTGCAGGTGACAGCACCCTGGCCCCTCCTGACCCGAGAAGACGGTACCTCCCATTCTCTGTGCAGCCCCTGGTGGCATAGTGGGTGCGTGTTGGGCTGTTAGCCACAAGGCCAGCAGTTTGAATCCAATCTTTGCTCTGCGGGAGGAAGAGGAGGCTGTCTGCTCCCACAAGGCTTTACAACCTTGGAGGGAGGGGGGAAAAGAGGAGCAGATGCCAGGGCTCATGTAGAAAGAAGAGGGTTTGGAAATGTTGGTGGCAACATAGGTACCAGTGTGCTTAATACAATTGAATGATGAATTATTAAAAGATTTATCAGAGTCCCCCATAAAACAATTAAAAAAAACACAAGATTTACAGCATCTCACAGGGGCAGCTCTACTTCTTCCTATAAAGGTGCTGTGAGTCGGAATCCACGTGACGACAGTGAGGGGCTTGAGGGGGGTCTTCACACCCCCAGCACCTGAGCCGCTGCCCCACCAACCCCCGCTCTGAGGAAGCACACAGACTCAGGCTGGGATGTCCCCCAGGCTGAACCGGGCGGGAGGCTGAGGCAGCTGGTCTGCTCACCTGACTCAGGATGGCTTCACGGATGTCAGCTAGGACAGACTGTGTGTTCCATATGCCGCATCCCCTCCCCAGGCCACTGACTGCATGTGGGTGGGACTCTGCAGCCCAGCCCACCCCACTGCCAGTCCCAGACCGGAAACACGCGGCCATGGGAAGTGGCAGAGCTGGCGCGTGGCTCTTCCTTCTCTGCAAGAACAAAGGCCTTCAGGGACCTCCTCACTGGACACTGGCCGCCCCGGCCCACACGATCCCTCCTTCCAGTGGGGAAGGGTTTCCTTGTTCGTGAGGGAATGGGGACCAGCCCACAGCAGAGGGTTTCAGAGGAGACAGTTCCTGAAGGAGCTCTAGGTGTCAGTCCTCAGAAGGCTGTGGGCTATGCAGGCTGGGGGGTCTCAATCCTCAGAGTTGAGAAAGCTTAGGGTGAGCAGACCCCACTGTTCACGGGAGGTGCCTCTGCTCTGAGCTGCTGCCTCTGGGGGCCTGACTTCACTACCGCCACCCCATAGAGCTGGGTCTGCCTTCCCCACCACCCCATAGAGCTAGATCTGCCTTCCCCACCACCACCCCACAAAGATGGGTCTGCCTTCCCCACCCCACCCCCATATAGCTGTGTCTGCCTTCCCTACCACCACTCCATAGAGCTGGGTCTTCTCATCATGACCCTACAGAGCAGTGCCTGCCTTCCCTTCACTCCCCACAGAGTGGGCACGTGCCCCCTGGCTGCCCTCCTCCACAGAAGGCAGCCTCTGAAGCTGGTGTTTCCTCAGGAAGGGAGATGGGGGTCGATCGGCACTACCCACCCCCAACCTTCTCTGAGCCTTCACTCTTTCTTCCTGCAGGTGTGGGGATGAAGCTAACCGACGTTGGCATAGCAACACTGGCTAAAGGGTGAGTCGGAGAAAACCTCCGTGAGCATGCACCATTCTACACTGGGCTGCCTTGCCTGCAGGGGCAGGTCTGCCGGTGACTGCAGCTGACCAGTGCTCTCAGGATGAATTCCTGTCTCCCACCTACCTCCAGGATTAGGGGATTCCATCCCACAGGGAGGCCCACCTGTCCCCCCACTTTGCAACAAATAAGAACACCCCCTGCCGCCCACCCCCCATCCTGCAAATGGCTTTGGAGATTAGTTACTGGCAGGGATGCCGTGGTGTGCATGTGTGCGTGTGTGCACGCACATGCACCAGCATTTATTGGGATTTCTTTTAACTACAAACGTTCCATGTTCCTACCTTGACTAACAGCGAATAGCTGCCCAATGCAGAGCTTCTTAAGGATACTTCCTCTTGCCTTTGAGCCCAACGAATTTCACGTGCCTATTTTATTTCTCATTATTTTTAATGATCATTTTATTGAGGGCTCTTACAGCTCTTATAACAATCCTTATGTCACTTGTATCAAGCATATTTGTATATATGCTGCCATCATTATTTTCTAAACATTAACCTTCTATTTAAGCCCTTGGTATCAGCTCCTCTTTTTACCCTCCCCTCCAACCCTCATGAGCCCTTGATAAAGTATAAAGTATACTTGAAAAAGCATAAATGATTATTCTTTTCATATCTTACACCGATTGCGGTCTCCCTTCCCCATGGCTTGTTGCTCCTCCCCCGGGGGGGGGGGAGGTGGGGGGGTTATGTGTCCATATTGTTATCAGTTTCCACTTCCTGCCCGCACCTTTCCCCTCCCCTCCTGGTATTGGTACTCCCATTCCTGTTGCTGAGGGGTTTATCTGACCTGGATTCCATGTGTTGTGAGCTCTTACCTGTACAAGTGTATATGCTCTGCTCCAGCCCGCAGTGAAAGGCGGGACTGGGGTCATGATAGAAGGGGGTGAGGAAGCCTCAAGGAACCAGAGGAATATTGTGTGGTTGATTCATCCCTTCCTCGTGACCCTTCTGTGAGGGGAGGTCCCCATGTGCCTATTTTAATACACTATTCCCCTGCCCTCAAAAGTCCCTCAGAGGGCTGATGGACTATGGCAACGGGGACAATAGCAGGCCACTAGCCAGGTGGTGTTAGTCAGCCTGGCTGTGGGCCACGACTTTGCTGTTTCGTGGGTGGCCAGATGATGGGGCTTGGCTAGAACTGCGGTGCGGTACCTCTTTGCTGCTCTCGTCCTCCTCCTCAGACGTCTCTATCTGTGTGTGGTCAATAGAAAACCAGGAAAACTAGACCCATTGCCATGCGTGGACTTCAACTCGGTCACTACAGGTGTCACGAAGCGTTAGCCTCAACAGCATCTTTCCATTCATAATGTGGCGATCCTCACAGTGTTCATCGTGTTGGTCAACCATCACCAAGGGCCCTTTCCAGAAGTTTCTGCCACCCTTCATGAGCCTAAGATGAGGCTTTCTGCTCTTGTAAAGAGCTGCAGCCTTGGAAGCCCACAGGAGCCGGTCTCCCGAGTCCTGCAGGGTCACGAGGAGTCGGAATCAACTCTCTGGCAGTACAATGGTTTCTGTTTTAAGGGAAGCTCAGTATCTCAGTGGGGTATCTCTGATCAGCTGCCCCTTGCACGATTTACTTGACCATGAGGGGACAGCAGGCTGTCTGGGGTTCTGGATGCGCTAAAGTTCTGTGTTGGAAACTCCCCTCCAACCCCCACCCCAGACATGCCCCTGTGTCCACAACTGTGTCCCGAGCGCCCAGAGCTTTTGTTGGGAAGAGGACGGAGAGGGCACCTGACTCCGGGACGGGAGTGACTCTCCAACAGCTGGGGCTCCTCATCCGTTTCTGGCCATCTGTCCTTAACTCGAGGAGCAAGGGGTCAGTTTGAGGATGAAGGTGCTCCTGGCTCAAGGAACCGCAGAGGCCTGCTGAATGAGGAAGATGGAAGGAGGATCGGTGCTGGTGAAGAGGTTCGGAAGGGCCACAGGCTTCCCAAAGGACATAGAACTCCGTCTCGGAAGCAGGATAGCCAGATGCCCTTTAGAAGGAAGGATGGAGCGACTCCTCTCATACTTTGACCATGCTCTGGAGAGAGACCAGTCTCTGGGCAGGGACATCCTGCATGGTAAAGTCGAGGGCCAGGGGGAAAAAAAGTGGAAGCCCATTAAGGAGATGAATTACTCAGGGGTTACAGCTATGGACTGCAGTCACCGCTGTGCGGATGGCCCAGGGCCGGGTGGGGTTAGGTGCTGTGGTTCAGAGTCATCTCGGTGAGTCAGAATCGAGGCAGCAACGACAGGCCTCAGCGACCCTGTGACACGTGTGCTGGTGTTTCAGCTGGAAGGAGGCAGGCGGGAGGAAGAGAGAAACCAAACAAGCCCGGGGCTGTCCGGTCGGTTCCCACCCTGTGGGTTTCCATGGAAGCAGACTGTCTCTTGTGGCCAGGCACCTGGGCTCTGACTGCGGACCTTTGGGTTCCCAGCCGGACCTTACTCACAGCACCGCCGGGGCTCCTTGGAGGAAAGAAGAGGGATTTGGAAAAGAGGAAGGGGGACAACTCTTGGTTTTCACCCCCTGCGCATGACCTTGATTCTTGACGTTCTCTCGGGTTGCACCAAGCTCCTCGTTGGAGTTCGGAAGCAAGCTGCAGCTTGGATAGTTTCTCCTGCGGTGGCTCCGTCTGAAGACGCTCAGCTACGTGCAAGACCCTTACTCCTTACGCAGGCCTGGCACCCACCCACTTCTGGGTCACCTGCTGGTAGCCTTGTTTCATGCCCTCAGAGGACCCCGAGGAGAGGGTGACCACACATCCCATTTGCTAGGGACAGAACATTTCCCCCTGGATCCCCAGCATCCCCTCCGATGGAGCATTTGCCTCAGACAAGTTCCTGGGATAAAAGCAAATTCGATCTTCCTCTCGCCGATCCAACCAATTCCATTCCATCTCACTCCAGTTCTGAAGCAGCTGTCCGGGCCACACACCCTCCTCTGAGTCCTACCTGACCGCAGCAGACTCAGAGCTCCCAAGGTGCTCCAGACTGCCCACTGGGCCCCAAACGCCAGCCCAAGCGGAGAGCCTCCAGGTGTCTTGCTTTGCATTGACTATAAACTTGGGGTTCCCTTTACCTTCTCAGGAGTCAGCCACAAGCTCAGGACGCCCCAGCTCCCTTCACACACCTCACCTTCTGGCTTCCACAGCTCACTCGGGTTTGCGAATTTGCTAGAAATACTCAGAACTCAGAGAATACACTTAGGATTACAGTCTTTCTCCCCTCCCCCCGCAAGCTATTTATTTATTTATGTATCATTTTATTGGGGGCTCGTACAACTCCTATCACAATCCATACATACGTAGGATTACAGCCTTATTACAGGAAGAGGAGACAAAGAAAGGAACCCTGGGCCAAGGTCCAGGAGGGCCCAGCATGCAGTGTTTACGTCCCAAGGGGCACGCTACCCTCCCAGAAGCACTGGATTTCTAGCCCCGACCAGGAACCTCTTGAGCTTCTGTGTCCAGAGTTCATCCCGCGGCCTCCCTCCCTCATCCTGCTT